ATATAGGACTATATTAGGAAAAATATATATTTTCAATCATATTAATTACATCGTTTAATCCCAGTTAAATTAAAAACAAGTCTATTTTTATATGGTGAAGGGAGTATTTCATACTTGTTGATAGGTGATAACGGAGCACGTAAAATAAGGACATTAAAAATTTTAAGAAATTAACTATACTCTTAAGAAGAAAAGTGACATATCATTTGAAAGAGATGGAAAAAAAAAAAAAAGTTTATAATTATGAGTCTGCGGGGTCCAAGATGTCAATATATGTGGTACAGATGACACATAACAACTTTAATGGGTGTATGAAATAAATGTACGGATTAAAAATTTGACATATCTGACTTCTTTTGTGATGTTCATATTGCTGATTTCTTTTACTTGGGGATCCGGAATCATAGAATTAAATAGGCCGTTGACCCATAATCTCACGTTTAAATGTCAATAATTTAGGTCGTTAACCCACGAGCTTAGCTCGGATTCGTGGCTCGTTTTTCACGAGCCGAGCTTAGTCAATAATTTTGGTCGTTAACCCACGAGCTCGGCTCGGATTCGTGGCTCGTTTTCCACGAGCCGAGCCAGCTCGACTCGTTAACCCACGAGCTCAGCTCGGGCTCGTGGCTCGTTTTTCACGTGCCGAGCCCGGGTTGGGCTCGTTACTCGTGGGCGAGCTCGTGAATTTTTTTTTTTTTTTTTGGCAAATTTTTCAAATGTTATTGATAAAATTTTATTTTTTCCCACATTTTTGGACGAGCTCACGAGCCCACGAGCCTTGGACCCTCGAGCTCAGGCTCGTCATTTGACGAGCCCAAGCAGCCCACGGCCCAATTGACATCCCTAACTATTTGAAAGGTTGCAAGTCTAGTGTGTGCGCACGCGCGCTACAAGTACATAATTTTTGTACAAAATGTTTTCCACATACACAAGTGTACCAACATCATTTAAAGATGAAAAAAAATATAAAACACAGACGGACATAATTTTTCCATTTCAAAATTCTGTATGAATTCTGTAAATTTTCCCTGTATTCAAGGAAATACACACACATATACACACTATTTGGTTGAGTTGAGGTTATATATAATATAGTCAAAGTGATGCATCACCTCTATTGAGGTGAGCCTTCCATGACCTAAGCAATATGATATAACCTACTGCAAAAGCAATTCGAGACAAGATCCTCTTTTAAGAGTTTTTTTATAAAGATAATGTTTTTTGAAAAATTAGTGGTTGAAAAAGAAGGAAAAAATTTCAATTACGTATAACATTATTTTATGAAAAGATTGTGTGGTTGAAAATAGAAAAAAAAAATGAAATGAAATTTAATGGGGCCAAATTTAATGTCACCTCGACTATCAAGATGAAGACATGGGTCTTTTTGATCCAACGGTGACATTTCCTCATTTTCTACTGTAAAAACTCTCACTTAATATCATTTCAAGTTAATGCAATTTTATACACTCAAATTAAGATTGTCATCTCTCATTTTCTATTGTCTTGTAAGCTCTTGGTGTCCATACACTAATGTGGCTCACGCTTTCCGACCAACACACACCAAAATGTACTCTTTCTATTGATGGACTTAACTGTTGAAGTACTTTCGACCACCCCCACCGTCGAAAAAGGTCAAGTGCTTCTAAAGTTTTATTTAAGTTTTTGGGAAGTTGTCTACTTGGACGTAAGTGAAATCGAAATTTATTGACCACACCATCCGCATAAAAATCTAGGTCAATAATTAGTGATTTTAAAAATATCGTGAGTAAAACAAGAAATAGAAAACAATATCAGATATGTAGATGATTGATGTGTGACGTACCTTGTCATATAGCTGAGCTCAAAATAATAGTTGATAATAAAAGCGAAATTATTAATGAAAAGGAAAGGACAACATATATTTCTTAATTGATTTTCCTATACATTATAGGAAATTTTCAAAAAAATAAATTGATGAAGGTCTAAATCTGGTAAATTTTAAAATCTTCATATTTCTATATGGTAATTATATTGTTACCACGAAATTTACTTGTTACTACACCACATTATGTCTCCACCACAATTAAAATATGTTTTTACTAAATACTCCACACCAAATTTACAATTATAAATCTAATTCAGTAAAAATAATAAAAAAGAAGAAAATTACATGAACCTTACAATAACAAAGACACTCCTACTTTCATAAAAATCATTAACATCAATTAAGGTTTTTTTTTTCCAAAATTACTATTTTAAATTTCCTTAAACTATATATTTTCATTTTCTTATTTGTTAAATATAATTTTTCATAATTTTCACTTAGAACAATTCATTTTAGTTAAAAAAAAAAAATCTTTATAAATATTGCTATAAAACTTGTAATATTATATTAATATGATATTTTTTCCTCAAATAGGATTGATAAAGAATTAACAAATCAATATAAAAAAATGTTTTACAATAAATTAATAAAGCTAGTTGAACCTCCAATCGAAATTTCACTTCATTAAATAATATTCCGAAATTTAGATTTTTGTTGTGGAGCATGTGAATTCGGACAACTGCTATATAGATCTTTAAATTGGACAATTAATATATTAGTTTCTAAACTTCATTTTTTCTTTTATTCTAGATATTTCTTTTGGTTTTTAGGGAAGCTCTCTTCATTTTTGTGACATTTAGTGCGAACAAAACATATGTACAAACTTATTTTAAAAATAATAATAAGAAAAACCTAGGTGATCGATCCTCACATTGGCATGAGATCCGCGTCGACCTCATATGAATAAAAAATGTTAAAAATGACACCTCACCCACCCCGACTGTGAGTGTAGGTCAGTTGGGGTGTCAAAATAATTCTGATACCGTAACATGATTGTAATTATAGATAAGAAGAACTAAAGCTCCGGGGAAAGGGGGCACTATTGAGAAAAGAAAAAGAAAAAAAAAAAAGCGGTTGAATTTGCACTGCGCACCACAATCGCAAAGGAAATAATGGATAAGTTATTGTGGTGTCTACAAAAATTATTTAATGTTAAAAAATATATTTAAAAGTGTGACTAATTAAACAAATATATTAATTAAAATTATGGTTTAACAAGTAAATTTATTGGTGGTAATATAATTGCCATTCCTATATATGTCTTGCTAGTTTTCTAAATTAAAGCTTAAACCGTGAAATAATTAATAATCATTCTTAAATTGAGATTTGACCAACCCTTAATACTCTCTTGAATTTTTAAAATTGTTTGAGCAATGTAACAATATATCTTAAAATAAATATTTCTAGAACAATACTATAAGTATAGATTTTTTCTATAAAATTTGTACAGAAAAACGGTTGTCTTCCTATAATTGGCTGTTGGCAAAAACAGTTTTTGATAACAGCAAATCAGAGGAGATCTAGCTATTTTTCAGTACCAATTCTATTAAAAATTATATATATACTTGCAGATTAATTGATATATCTATTCAATTCGATATCCTATATGTTATGTCTACATTTAATTCTTAACACTTAAATTTTACATCAATTTGAAATAAAATATTTTTAATTATATCAATGCTCTGATTCAATTGACAAAATAAAATAAATTGTTTTAAAAGCCGTTATTTGTCAAGAAATAAAAGCTTGTTTCCCCATTGTCATTGTTTAAAACTAATTTTACGATAAACTCAAAAAAATTTATACTTTTTAATCATATTTTTGATAAAATTATTTAAAAAAAATTTATCTTCGAAAAATCTCAACCAATAAAATTTTGATTTTATTCTAATTAATCGATTTCTATTTTTTTAAAGAAAAAATTGGATGAGAATGGGACAGGGTAACAGGTGTTTGAGACGTGTACACATGGCATGAGTTGCTTACCTGACCGTGGTGGCATTTTTGCTAATAACTCCACAGGAAGTTGCGTTTACGAATATCAACTATCCCAATAAAGGAGTACTAAACTAACTTTTACTTTTGAGTAAACTAATGCGACCCGACCCGACTCTTGTCACTTTTTTAGAATTCCATCTTAAATATACACACTACTCACTCACCCCATAAATAAGTATATTCGAGTTCAACCTTTCGGGGCATAATCTAATGGTGTAAAGGATAGGAATGGGGTATTCTTATCCTTGCTGACAGTCGCAGTGTGAGGGTTCGATTTCTGATATATGGAATTGGACTCTTTGTGAGTACCAGTGTATGAATAAGATCTTGTTTTCTGACATGTTGGGACACATTCCGTCATTTACCCTCCTTACGATATTGCAGGAGCGAGATAGTGGGGCTCTCAAGATTAGGGTTTAACTTTTTTTTTTTTAAAGTATATTCGAGTTCAAAATTGTTGACTCTTCATCTATCCTTATTAACAAACCGACACATTATATATATATTTTTAATAATTTAAAGATACATATAATGAAAAAAGTGACACGAAGTAATCGTAGTCCTATTCACAAGTTAATTGGTATGATCCTAATCAAATTAGGTTGCGTTATGTTTGCAGAACTCTGTCAGAATTGAACTTAACGTTATGTTTGAAGAACTCTGTTAGAATTGAACTTAATCAAGTCCTAAGCAAACTACAATTCTATATTCACGTCCAATCAAATAAGGATTATTTTCTATTATTATCGCTATTTTCTATAAATATAGCTCCTACCCCTTATATCAAAGTTAAACATAATTTAAACCTTTTACATTCTAGTAATTAGTGAAGATAAAATTTAGACGAGACATTAAATAATTTTTCATAATTGAACACATTATATTTTGACCTCTTTCAATTTTATAAAAAATTGCTAATTTGTCAAAAATACAATGAGGGAGCAGCAAATTCGAGAAAGAAAATTAATTCAGATCTCACACATATGCTATGCTCAATATACTTCAATTTCACGTGAAGGTATACACACAGTAGACACAAACAACATATGAATACTCGACCGTACATAGTACAAATCATCCCTAAAAACACGCGCCCCCCCCGCCCCCCCGGTTTTTCACTCTCCTTTACACAGAAACCCAGTATTTTTACAGCTCAAGTCTCTCTCTCTCTCACTCCTCTTCTCCTAGAGCCTAAAGGAGTCCGTAATTCTTAGAACTCCTCACACAAACACAGTATCATCTATCTCTTGGAACTCCTTCGAATACAATTCACTTTATCTCTCTTCAAATTTCTCAGAACTGCAGGTGAAAACGGCGGAGCTTTACTGCCCGAATGGCAGATATAACAAAGTATGCACCCATTGGTGTCGGTGGTGGAAATTTCATCTCAGATTTCAAGAGCCACTTTTCATTATTTAGACCTAAGAGAACTGTTTCTATTGCATATGGGTTTGTGTTCCTTTTTATTGTTGTCACCATTTTTCTTGCCTTTAGCCCCTCTCCGAACTCTTCCTCGCCGTGGTTCACTAACATTTTTGCTGCCAGTAGTAGCGACGGTACGGGTTCTGCAACACCATCATCAATTTTCTCTGACGAGTCTTATAGATCTCATTTTTCTTCTTTTTTCTCTTATTTTTATGCGCACAATTCTTCACCGACAGAAGATAATGTTAGATCCCCTACGATTAAACCGCCCAATTTGAATAAAGAATCCCCAGTTGAAGTCTTGAAGCCAAGTAATAGTTCAGTTTTGCCCCAGAAGCCTTCTGTAAATCGGACTGCCGATAGTGGTATGCCACCAAAGTCCTTTTCTGAATCGAATAAAGGGTCATCAGATGTCAAAAATCAGACTCAAATCGAAGACTTGCATGATAAAGTTGAAGTTTTAAAGCAGAACCAGATTCCGACTATAGATTCGGATGGTAAAATTGGAGTCTTGAAGCAAAACCAGACTCAAAATGACAAAGTTGAAGTTTTGAAGACAAATCAAAGCATAACTAGGGACACAAATTCTCCAGTTCCTGTGAATTCATCGCCAAATTCTGCTTCAGGAGCACAAACAGTTACAAAGAATGGAGCCAAGGGAAATACAGAGCAGGGTTTGATTAAAAACTTAACTTCTTCTTTGATGAAGAAACATGACGATTTGATCAAATCCTTGACGAATTGTGATTTTTTTGATGGAAATTGGGTGAAAGATGATTCTTATCCACTATACAAGCCTGGTTCCTGTTCTCTGATTGATGAGCAATTTAACTGTTTTCTTAATGGTAGACCTGATAATGGTTATCACAGAATGAAATGGAAGCCTAGAGGTTGCACTCTCCCAAGGTATGTGGCATAATCTTAATCTTCTTTATTAAACAAAATTCCAGTAATTAATGACATTTTAATTCATAAAATTATAATCGGTTTGTTCTAATTCCATCCACCTAAAAAGTTCCATAATTATAGGGTCCCTTTAAAATGGCTTGAAGTAGGTAATCTGGTAATGGCATTTTTAAATGTTCCATCCGTTTCATTGATTTCCATCATATATGTAGGCATTTATTTTTATACTTAGCCAATATAAATTGTATTGAACTTGTAATATACAGGCTGAACGGAAGTCATATGCTGGAAATGTTGAGAGGGAAGAGAGTAGTGTTTGTTGGTGATTCTCTGAATAGGAATATGTGGGAATCTCTTATCTGCATATTAAGGAACTCTGTGAAAGATCAGAGTAAAGTTTATGAGCAACAAGGCAGGCACCATTTTAGGACAGAAGCTTCTTATTCCTTTATATTTGAAGTAAGTTATTGGATTTTTGTTCTTCTTTCTAATCTGATTCGAATTCTACTTACGCAGCATCTTCTCAAATTGTTATTTTTCTTTCTTTGTATTTCTATTGATGGATTTTCAGGACTATAAATGCACTGTTGAGTTCTTTGTAACTCCTTTCTTGGTTCAAGAATGGGAAGCGGCGGACAGAAATGGAACGAAGAAGGAAACACTTCGACTCGATATAATTGAGAGGTCCGCCAATCATTATAAAAGTGCGGATATCATTGTTTTCAACACTGGACATTGGTGGACTCATGAGAAGACGTCAAAAGGGTAAAAATCACTATAACTTAATACAAGCCTTATAATGAATTTGTTTGAGCCTAAACAATTTTGAATGTTTTTCAGGGAAGACTATTATCAAGAAGGCAGCCATGTGTACAAAGAATTGAACGTTCTCGAGGCGTTTAGGAAAGCTTTAACAACATGGGGAAGATGGATTGATGCCAATGTAAATCCAAGGAAAACACTCGTCTTCTTCAGAGGCTATTCTGCTTCTCATTTCAGGTAATAAATTACAATGATCTGAAAACTAAGAAAACGAATTTGTTATTCCTTTGGACTACCATATTTGGTTAGTCTTCACCGTAGAAATGTTCGAAAAAAGGATAGTTCAGTTACCCAATTTTTTCTGCTTTACGATAAGTTAGCACATTGAACAGAAATTGTTGCACTTATTTATTTATTGCTAAGTTGTTGTTTTTCTCCTACCATGTATTGATTTCATCACCATTATTCTTCAATCTTGATTTTAATATTCTGCACTCTATTTTATGTTTTCAAACAGTGGTGGGCAATGGAATTCTGGCGGGCAATGTGACAACGAGACTGAGCCGATCAAGAATGATACTTATCTCACGCCATATCCACCGAAGATGACTGTTTTGGAGAACGTGTTCAAAGGAATGAATAGCCATGTCACTTATCTCAACGTCACGAGAATGACGGATTATCGAAAGGACGGTCATCCATCAATATATCGAAAACAAACTTATTCCAAAGAGGAGAGGAGATCGCCATTGAGCTTCCAAGATTGCAGCCATTGGTGCCTCCCTGGCGTACCTGATGCTTGGAATGAGATACTCTATGCTGAACTTTTAGTAAACCAGAAGCAACAACGAAAAGGGCATTAGTACGAGACTCGAGTATACAGATATGTGCATTATGCATTTTCTTTGTTCTTTCTTTTTTTGAGAATATAGATACAGAAAACAACCAGCAGAGGATCCAAGATATAGTATTTTGATTTGGTATATAAATAATGAGAAACAGAGATTGTAATTGAATATGTTGATATGCGGGAAGGAAGATGGTTTTGGTGGGGGGCTTCATTGTTAATTTTATCTCTCTATTCAAAAGCAATCAATGCATGATAAATATTATTTTCTATCTCTCTATTCAAAAGCAATAAATGCATGATAAATATTATTTCCTTGGCCTCTCTATAATTTATCATTTTGTGATCACAGATTAATATATAATTAGTGTGTTAAGATGTGTTCCTGCTCTTAAATGTTAATACCAGTGTATTATTTCGCTACGAATAATGCTTTTTAGTCCACTGGAGTTATAACCCAATTTATGTGGCGTTAATGTGGTATTAAGTGCATTAAGTCATTTAATTACACCTTTCATTTAATTTATTATTTAATGTTACATTACCGTCATATAGATTGGGGTTATAACTCCAGTAGAGATAAATAGCATTGCTTTTTTACCATATAGTAAATTTTTGATTACTTAAAAATCAAAGAGAGGTCCATTTTCCATCGTAATTCGTCGGTCAAATAAAACATTCACTTTTCCAAGTATTAGATTGATTTTTTTAGGGAAATGTTAAGCGTACACAGCCTTTGGGGTAAACTCCGGCGGAAGGCTGTTAGCTGGAGTTTTACACCAAACGCTGCACACTCGGAATAATTCATTTTTTTTATTGTTCTCCTACTATAAATGCCCGTAGAAATTGCAAAATGTGAAAAAATCGAACCGGCCTCAATCAAGTGATAAGTATCTTGTATCGTTCGATTTTTTCGCTGTTAAAAATAGCTTGTTATTATTCTTCATGGGTCAGTAGCGGAAATGTCTGAAAGTGCGCTTTGCAAAAGAATCATATGGTACGGTTAAAGGTTTCTCGTCAGGGTTTCTATGTTGTATTAATGGTCCGGATTTGATGAAATCTAAACTCGATCTCAACTCTTGACTCTTTGATTAGATCTCAACTCTTGACTCTTTGACGCTTTATGAGAATATAATATATGACTAAACATTAATAAATCTATACTTTGGAACCTTTTTAAGTTTATTTAATTTAGTTTCCTAATCTTCACATGGGAAGGGGATGCATGCTTTGACCTTGTGTTCACAGATAATCAATGCAGTGATTAAAGCGTCAATTGTCGGTTTAAAATGTGATTTGGTATCAGCAGTTGTCGACTCTTTTCCACATGGACATTGATTCACTGTGGATTAATAATACTTTTGCTGGAAATATAAGTGACAAATTTCACATGAAAGTAAACAACTTTTCAAAAATCACTTATTCTGCTACTTGCTTAAGACAGAAGCAACACTCCCAAAACCTTAAACTATATGCATCTCCAGCAGCAGGAGTTGATTGGTGGACTGGAGCCAATAATTAGCACATGACTCAACTAAGATTTTTTCCCCTTCCCAAATAACATAATAATATTAAAAAATCGAGCATTTTTTATAATCTGTGTAAAATTTACAGGGATTCCATTCCTTCCAGGCAGAGATACCGTCATACAGGTCTCGAGTATCAGACATGGGTACCTAATCAATGGGAAATTTTATAGCTTAAACAACGAAAGCATTGAGGAAATAAAGGAAACAAATTATGATGATACCCGCAACTGTATTTTGTAGATTTGGAACAAATACATTGTAATTGTGATACAGCTTTGGCAACTGATGCCAAGCCGAATCACATATTGAACTCCAATACAGTTTGACATATTTCCAAAACCAACATTGTCAACTTTCTTTTATTAATTTTTTGGGGCAAATTATAAATAATCGAATTCTCATTTTTAACAGTATTTTAAATTCCAATTGTTGGCTTGTTTTTGCGTAAATTTTATTTCTGTGGTCGACACACTTTTTTTTTTTTTTTTTTTTTTTTTTTGATTTAATTTTTTTAATTGTTTAATGTGATAAATAGAAAGTTACCATTTTACCCTCTTAAAATTGATTAAAAGGTGATCAAAGTTTATTTTGATGGTCAACTAATGAATTTTTTTACGGAAACCATCCAAAAGTTTCCCCCCTTTTTTTTTTTTTTTTTTTTTTTTTTTTGTGGACTAACGTTTGAAACTGACGTAATAAATGTCTACTAATCAACCACAATATATTGAACAGAGCCGTCTCTTTGTTTATTGAAAGGTTTGTCCGAACAACAACCACTATTTTGAAAAGATTTGTCGAGTGCTTCAATGACAACGAATAAATCTATAAATAGCATATGACTTTTTTTTTTTCTAGAAAATGTACACCATTTCTATTGCAATTTTTTATTCTTTTAATCTCACTTCTCTCTATATGTTGATACTGTTTTTTGAGTACAAAATACTATATTGAGTTTGTTGGAATTTTTACTATTTGTTGTGTTGTTTTCATAAGAGATTTATTTCGTTCTATTATTGGAGACGATTGCTGATTGATTTTCAGCATTATAGAAGGAAGCAAATTCGTTTTAGGGATATATCGGTGGGCTCGAATTAAAATTCTGATTCTATTGATCATCTTGTTACTCTGTTCAAATTTGTTTAAATAACCCGAAGGAGAAAATGATACTCTAGAAATATTAATCTTAGGACGAATTTTATTATTATTTTAAATTTCTGGTTTATTCTACTTCTACTTCTTATTCGTACATCTTTTGATTGTTTATAAAAATGGCTATATCCAATAATCTACTATCTAATATGATGAAAGAAACATTCGAGAAATTTCACAGGTCCCAAATTTTAAGCATGGGTAACAAAAAATGCTATTTTATCTAATAATATTAAGTTTGGAGAAAATTTTCAAAGAAGATGCAAATTCAGTTTCTCTAAAATTTGAAGGAAGACAAAAGCTATAATATTAGTGTGGGGACACTCAATTGTGACTTCACTTGGAGGTTCCAATTATCATGCAAAATTTATTTATCACTTAGGCAGGAAGATATGAATTAATTATTAGCGGTGCAATTTATGCGATCAATAGATGGGCTCACTGAAATTTTGTTGAATTAGTAATAGTGGAAATTACACTTAAACTATATTTTTCAAGATCCAATTTCATAAACCAGAGCTGAAATTTGTTTATACAAAAATAAGATATTGATTCGATATTAATCATAAAATTAATTCCTAATTTTCATACAAACCCTAAAAATTACTCATATTCACTCACTACCTCTCCCTCATTTTCTCCTCAATGTTCCCACGGTCTTCCATTCATCCGGCACCACCTTCCTCTCGTCCGACACTAGAACCATTGCCTTCATCTTCGTCCGACGTCAGAACCACCTCATTTCTTAGTAATAAGCCCCCGTCATAAAACAAAAAAAAAAAAGAACAAAAAAATAAAACAAAAGCCATCTTTTGTTCCAACAAGCACATACGTATAAATTATAATTCTTTTGCATTAGTATTTGATTCATAGCAACAAATATATTTAAATTTAAATTTTGAGACTAAGAACCAACTTCTTCTGATTTTTAGTTACTATTTAAATTTCTAGAATGATATATGATCTAGGCTTATTTTAATTTCTAAATTCTTCATGTTTCATGTTTTGGCTTTATATTGAATATTGAATATTGCATAATTGATTTCTGTAGACTGCATGTATTTAATGTCTTTTGCCATCACTTTTTATGAATCTACTTAAGTCTAAATTGAACCAAATCGGCAAATCATAGTCGTCACTTTTCCTCTTGCCTCATTTTTCTCGTATCATAGAACACTAATTTACGTAGAGAAAAAAATTATTCTATTATTAGAAATTTACAAAACAAGACATATACAGGACAAAACTGCTTTGTTTCAACAGAAGGTTCACATTTAGTTTTTAGTATTCTTTATAGTTTTAATTACAATTTGAATAATAATAATAATAATAATAATAATAATAATAATAATAATAATAATAATAATAATAATAATAATAATAAAGCCCTGTTTGGGTTCCATTTTAATTTTAATACACTTTTCTCGTTCTTCTTTTCAACTACATATTTTTTAATAAAATAATATTATACTTAAATTCAAAATTTTTCCTCGTTTTTAACCACACATTTTTCAAAAAATTATTATTCAAAAACACTTTTTTTTTTTAATCAAAACCTCATTAAAATGGAGCCTAAAAAAGAGCTAAATAAATTTAACTTAGTAGAATAATGGTCTAGACTAGAGTAATGTTGAAGAATATTGTTCATATTTCTAAATAAATGATTATGAACTAGATTTTTTTGTTTTTTTTTTTGGATAAATTGACTTCGTGGCCTGCTGGGGCATCTCCACTTACCATTCTAAAAGTAAACTTATCTGGATTTCAAGTATGTAAACCTTTCATTTTGTGTTTATTCTAAGTTGTATTAAATATATAGATGTGTTACATAAATTGTTATTCGGTGAACTTTAATATTCATTCAATGCATCCATTAGCATACATGAAATTAAGTTTCAAGAAATGCAAAGTTTATAAAGGTTAATGAGGCAAATAATATTTTTAAAAATATACATATCCCAAATTTTTAGGATGTGTATGCTTATTCCATGTAAGGTGTGAAGAAAAATATAGTGTAGGGGGCAAACTCGTCAGACTAATGATAATGTTAAATGCTAAATTTTTGAAGTTTAATGTTGACCATCTTTGGTTATTATTGGTATAGATTGAATCGGATTCCAAACAATAATGACCACTGCATTTTGATTGGTTAGAAGATAGACTAAAAAGTAAACTCGAAGCGTTGATATTAATATTTTTTAAAGAAATATAAGAGATTGAATACATAATAGAAAAATCTATTATTAAAATAATGCATATGCATATCATAAGCATGGGGTTTGCTTACTGGGCGTTTAGCTCATTTCACGTTATTTCTCCATTTCTCAGATGATAAAGAAAAGATGGTTTGAAACAAGCTAATTGTGGTGAGATAAACTTAGTACTAACACAGTTAAATATTGATTTCATTTTAACGTAAAGTTAGCCTTAACTTAAATGCTTATATTTTTAGTAATAAGTACAAAGGTTTTCTAAAACTATTTTTCTAAATAAAACTAATTAATATTTATTATGTTAAAAAAATTATTTACTTTTTCGCATTTATAATTTTAAGAGAATTAAATGATAATACTTCTAAATTTAGAGTATC